GGGGGGGGGCTTCGGGCGCGGCGCGGGACGCGGGTGGTGGAGGTGCGCGCGATGCGCGCGCCGAGGCCGCTGAAGGGTGGGTTATTCGCGAATCCCGAGCTCGTGTATCACGATGAGTCGGGGAGGAAGGCGAATCTGTTGACGCACGAGTTCGGGGAGGACATCGCGGCGAAGCTCGGGACGAGAGCCGCGTTTCATCAAACGTGCGTCTGTCGCCTGGACGCCAAGGGCGACGACGGCGAAGACGCGTGGATCGAGGTCGACATCGCGGGACCGGCGTTGGATAACTACGAATTTTCCCCTGGCGGCGTCCCGCTGTGCTGTGCGCCCGTGAGCGCCGCCGAGAGAGAAGGATGGACGTCGACGGTCGAAGAGCTCGTCGACGCGTGCAGCGAGGACGAGCTCGCGCTCGCTCGAGATTTCGCCGATCGCGCCTACGCGTTCCTCCAATCCTAATCCTAGTCATGTATACTCGATGTAGTCCGGCTCCCGCACGCGATCGCGCGCGATCGCGATGTCCATCGGCGTTCGCGCGGCGACGCGCGCGGGCTCGAAGCGCGCGCGGACGTCACAGTTCGTCCGTCGACGGGCCGTCGCGAGCCCGAGCGATGGGCGCGAGCGTTGCGGTGGAGACGTCGGTGCCGTGCGCGAGCGAGCGCACCGACGCGGCGTTCGTGCGGCGTCGTCGTTCGTCTGCGACGAGGAACTTTTCGCTCTCGAGCGCACGAAGACGCGTCGTCTCGCGCGCCGCCGACGCGTCGGGGCGCGCCGTAGAGTCGTCGTCGTCGTCGTCATTTTCGTCGTCTGCATCGGGCGTCGCGTTCACGTTTCGCGCGCACGAGGCGTCGACGCGAGAGGCGTTGGCGCGGCGGTGCGGCGCGGCGTCCGCCGTGGAGACGACGACGAAAACGAACGAGCGGTTGGGCGTGACGACCACGACGGACGTTTGGCGCACGCCTCGATTACGTCGCGTGCGGTCGACGTACGTGGACGGAGGGGAGGCGGCGCAGATTTTTAATTTAGTGGCGTACCCAGAGCCGAGCGCGCCGGACGCGCCGCTGCTCGGCGTGGATTTAATTTGCGTCGGTAAAGGGAACGCGAGGAAGATTTTGATCGGCGTGGATTTGCAACCGATGTGTCGGGACATGGATTACGCTTCGGCGTACGTGCCGGATCTCTTGGCGGTCGTGGGAGCAGGTGGACGTGCGTCGACGGCGGCGGCGAAGCTAAATGCGACGACTCCGTCGAATAAATTTTACGAGGACGCTGAGTTCTTCTCCAGAGGGATGTTCTTCGCCAGGCCCGAAAGCGCGAGCGAGGACGTCATGCGATGTTCGCTTGACGTCGTCGAGGCGTACGTGGACGTGTGGCTCGCACGCTTGGATGAGGCGGAGCGCGAAGCGGAGGCCATGGATGGCGCGTGTAAATTTGGACTGGCACTCGAGGATGTGCGTCGATGCGTACTCACGGAAGAGACGGCGCGAGCGGCGCAGGATGCGCACGATGCGTGGCAACTTACACACGATCCCGCGATTCCGATGTTTGCGAGCTGGTACGGCGAGGATTGGGCGCGCGAGTTCGCGGAAACGGTTCTGTTTCCAGGCGCAAAGGCGTAGAACTGTGAAAGAAAAAATTCCAACGATGTTACAATTACGGTAAAGAATCATTGTGAATGTGTAAAATGTAAAAATTAGTTTGATAGAGCATCTTCGCTTCTGCACATCATCGCTTTTGGTGGCGAATGTTTTTCATTGCGACGTACGCGAGGACGATCCAGAAGAGCCAAATGCCGAAGACGGCAAGAATGTTCGTTGAAAGCGAGTGTTTGACGCCATAGAAGTCTGAAACGCCGACTGCCGTTCCGGAATCATCGACGAAGACCTTCGGCTCGCCGTTGTGGAAATGATTACGCATCTGAGCTTGCCAGCCGTATCGCACGAAGAGCGTGTGGCGATACCACGCCCATCCTTTCGGCATCGATTCCGGGCGGATAATGAGTCCCGAAAATAAAAGTTGAACGACGTTATACACCGGCAATAGCGTGTTCGCCGAATCCATATCAGGCGCGACGGCGGAACAAACGTACGCGAGCGCGATCCCACAGCTCATGACGCCGTAATTAATTATCCAAAAGTAGAAGAAATTACCCTTGATGGCGCAGCCGAGAAAGAGCATCATCTGCGCAACGAGGCTTACGGGGATCGCCAACAACCCCTCTTCGATAATCTTGTACGCGATGTACGATAGTAACGGGTATACGCCGTCGTCTATCTCGCGATAGAACATGGCGCGTTCCATCACCACGGATGGCATGTATCCACTCGCCTGGAAACTCGGCAAGATGTTAATCATCGAGAGCAGACTCGCGACGTTCAACTGCGTCGACTGTTCTTGCGCATCACCGCTCGGTGCACCAATTTTCCAAAAGAGAGACATCATGACAAAACCGAACAAGATGTTGCCAGCGCTTCTTGCGGCAACGAAATCTGGATTTTTGTAGTTGTACCGAGTGCGATACTTTATGAGCGTGACAATTTTTGAAAGCGCACCACGCGTGACCTTCGGTTGTGGCGGCGGTGGAAGCTGTTCCTTCGCCCTCGCAGCTCTGACTGCACCTTTGTTAGCATCACCAGCCGAGCTCTTCGCGAAGGCACCGACGCAATCGACGTCATCGCTTGCAACAGCGCCAACGTAAAAATCTGCCATGTTAAATGACTCGGTGTACTCATATCCCAGACCATGGAAGTATGTCGTCACCGTGTTCATCGGTCCCGCGAAGGCGACGCGACCCTTCTTGAGCATGACGAGTGAATCGAAAAGACGGAACGCCTCGGAAGTGGGCGAATGAATCGTCGCAATGACGGTGACGCCAGAGTCCGCGAGCTGCTTCAGAATCTGCACAATGTCCAAAGACGTGGCGCTGTCCAAACCACTCGTCGGTTCGTCCAGGAACAGCACATCTGGGTCAGTAATGAGTGCCAAGGCCAAGTTTGTGCGCTTCGCCTGACCTCCGGAGATACCTCGCGACAGCGAGTCTCCCACGACCACGTCTGCACACTCCCCGAGGTTCAAGTCGTCGATGATCCCCGGCACACGAGCCAAAATCTCAACGCGCTCATCCTCGTTTCTCGCCCGGAGTTCGGCCCAGTAATTTAGCATTTCCTTAACCGTGAGCGACGCCAAGAGCGTGTCTCTCTGCTCGACGTACGCCGCGCACGCTCGGAAAGACTCCTTCGTCGCCGGCGTACCACCGTAGTACACCCCGTTGCCCGAGACTTCTCCGCTCGTGACGCGAGACGTGATGACGTCCAGCAGTGTCGTCTTACCCGCCCCCGACGCGCCCATGAGCGCGTGCACGCGACCGTGCTCGAAGACGCACGAAACATCGGTCAAGAGCTTCAGCCTGTCCTTCGTCTTCACATTCGTGACCTCGTACGAGACGTTATCGACGACGACATCGAGCGCGTGGCGATTGGACTTACTCGTGAATGAGCTCTGGCTCCCTCGACGAGGCAGCGAGACTTCCACGGACTTGGTTCGCGTGGTTGAGTCCATGGCGCTGCGAGGAGTGAGGGCACGAGCTGGCGGCTGACGGCTGACGGCTGGCGGCTGGCCAAGGGGAGCCGAGGTCTCCTCGATGATATCTCTGAATCACATCAACTCGTGCACATTATTAGTCAAAGACATCGTCGATGTCTGGAGCTTTCGAAGCGCTCGCGAGCGCCAATCGTTCTCTACGTCGTCGAGTCTTTTCAGAAAATGTACGGTCTCAAGACGGGTGGATTTTTCCAGAATCCCGAGAACGTTGCCAAGGATCCGCTCGCACTGAGACATGAACGGTTTTTCGCTAGGAGCGCAGAACACTGACGGGTCATCGCGTTTGAACGCACGAAGGGCGTCGAATATACCTGTGCTAACCAACTCGCTTCGCACTCGAAAATTTGCTCCGGCGCTTCGAATTGAGTCGGCAAGCATGACGGTTCTCTCGCCGTGCTTGACGCCTGAGAGAGGACATCCGGACGCTATGACGTCTTCACGTTTCGTATAATTAGGAAAGTTCATCAAGTGAACGGTCACACGACGAATGAAGGCTCCAATTTCGGCGCTCACGGTTGGCGGAGCAAAGTAAATTATGTGCTCTGGATTTGACTCGCGCGAGAGATCCGGACGAAGTGGTGGAAGCGCGAAGGCGGCGAATTTCGTCGCTTCAACGCAAAATATGTGCTCGAAAACTAAGTTGGCTTCGCACCAGGGAAGCAGACTGCCGTTGATCCAAACGCTCACTCCATCGATTGACGACTCGCTGTCAACGCGTGCGATCTCAACTCTGCACGTCGCGCACCATGTCGACTTATCGCTCACAACGCGAGAGACTACCACCTTTTTCTCGAGCGATGTCGATTCGCCTGCCGACGCCACGCGTTTTACGCGAACTTGCGCGTCGTCAACGCCGTCTTTCTCCGCGTCAATCTCCATCAGCGTCGCATCGATCTCCGTCGATTCCATCGCCGCGCGGGCGCGTACAATGAACCCTTCGTACGTTCTCCGAAAGAAATGAACCACCTCGACGCGACACGTGAACGATATTTGCATAACCGTCCGGCCGGTCCACGCGTTCCCATCTTCATCTTCGATCACTTCGGTCTGCACGTCATCGCGCGCGCCGCGAGCGATTCGTATCCGAATCGTCGTTCCGAGCGCTACCGGTGTTCGAAGCTCCACTGCGACGCCGCCGTCCGCGTACGCCCGCGCGGCGTCGACAATACCGTCCAACACGCGTTCTGGGTGGCTCATCATTCGTCGCTCGCGCGTGACTACGGTGAAGATGACTTCACCGTCATCGCGCGCGCGGAGCTCGGCGTCCAGCACGCGCGCGAGATGACGGGGCTCACGGAAACCACGCGTTCGACGCGCGACGAGGGCGAGTGCGCGCGCACAGAGAGGGTACACGTACGCGGCGTCGAGGACGAACGGGTCTGACATGGGCGAAGCGCGCCGAGGAGTGCGGGTCGTATGCGGTGGCATCGCACGCGCTCGGCGCGGGATTGGCGCCAAAACATTTTGCGTCTTGATTAATCATCGTAGAGCTCATCCGAGTCCTCGTCGCCGAGAAATAGGGCGGAACCGACAACACCGGCGCGACCGGTGGCGCCAAAGGTGACGAGACCGGGTCGACCCGGACCGACGACCCATTCCTCGGGGGCGTCTTCGTCTCCGTCCGATCGATCGCCGAGCGCCTCGTCGAGTGTTTTGAGCTCTGCCTTGGGCTTGGATTCCACCGCAGGCTTGGACGTTGGCATGTCCTCGAACTCATCGAACTCAGGCCAGCCGAGATCGTCTAAAACCACGCCCTGGCGACGCTCGCCGAAGCGGTCGTCCTTGAGAATGTCGGCAAACTTTTCAGCCGCGGTGGCGCCGAACTCATCGTCGCGATCGTCGCCCCAAAATCCGCCGCTTCCATAATCGAAACCGTCGCCAGGATCGTCGTTGAAAGACGAGCTTCTCCTACTCGATCGAGAGTCCGCGACCGCTTCGATGACCACGAACGAGTTCGTCAGCGCGGCGCAGAGCTTGACGTTGTTTCCATTCGTGCCAATAGCGCGCTTGACGTCGAATTCGCTCACGTAGGCGGTAAACTTGGGGCGCTGCGAGCCGTCGGGGAAAGACTTTTCTACCGACTTGACGTCGGCCGGAAACAGTGCCGCCTTGACCACCTCGGAGGGGTCATCGCTCCAATTGATGAAGTGCACGACCTCACCACCGGCGCGCTCTCTGATGCGCTTCAGTCTCACCTGATCGACGCCGACGCACACGTCGATCGTGTTCCAGATGGACGAACCTGGAACCGGAGCGACAGCAACCTTGGTGATTTTACCGGCGATGCGCGCGATGGCCTTGATTTCAACGTCGCCCTTGGCGATCTCTGGCACTTCGTCGCGGATGATCGCCGCGACGACGGCAGGAATCGTCATCGACAGTACCACAGGCGTTTGCTCGCGTCCCGTGAACAAGTTTTGATCGACGTCGAGGACGTAGCACGATACCTCGTCACCCTGCTTGAGCTGACGGTCGTTAAATAACTGCAGCTGTTCCTCGGGTGGAATCACACCCGCGGCACCGTCGGCGATGTCCACCATCCAAGAGCCATCCTCTGAGCGGAACCTCGTGGTACCCACGCACAGGCTTCCGATTTGCTCGACGTAATTCTCCGTCGCCATTCGCGCCACGCCGCTCTTCATCTCCTCAGACATGTATCGAATCAGCGTCCGCATGCGATTCTGACGACGAATGTTAAAAGTGAAAAATTTTGTGTCGTCGTACTCGCGCTCCACCGTCCCCGAGCGTCCGAAAACTTGCACCAACACGGCGAACCGCCCGCGTTCGACGTCAATGTCCACGCTCACGTCCAAGCGCGCGTCCCTTCGCTCGCGCTGGATCAACCTAAGCGCGCTCCCTGGAATCTCCTTATACATGGTCGTGATCGCTCGTGCGATCGCCTCGAGGTGCATCCCGGTGTCCGCCTCGTATCCAGACTTGTCCTTTGCCAGCGCTCGTAATCCGTTGACGACGGCGACGCGTCTCGCCAAGTCATCCTTGCTCACTTTCTCGCTCGCCGGTCGCAGCTCGGGATACTTCGCCTCGAGTTCCAACATCCTCTCCGTCGTGCTCGCCTCCTCGCGATCGGCTCTCTTCGCCCATGACGACCCCCACCCATCATCGTTCACGTCCTCGCCGTCGTCCTCCTCCTCGCTCCGTCCCCATCCGCCCGCTTCGTCCACTCGCGCTCGTCGCTCCCGCATCCTCGCCTCCGCCCGCGCGTCCGGTCTCTCCACCGACACAACCCTAGAATTCCTCCACGACGTCGCTTTCTTCACGACCTCCTCCATGGGCGCCATCATCGACCGATTCGCGCTCTCGTGCGCCAACACGCGCTCGAGCAACGCGCCCTTGGACCCGCCCAATTTCAACCCGTACCCTCGGCACAGCGGTTTCAACCCTTTCTCCACCGTGAGCGCGGACAAGTACGCGCGACGGTCTTCCAGCCACGGATCGCTCGGTGCGTCATCGACGGCGGCGTCGTCGGCGTCGGGCGCGGCGGCGGCGCGAATGGATGTCAGAAAAGCGGCGGCGCGATGTTTCGGTCGTGCGCGACGCGCGCGCGCGATGAAACGCGCGTTCGGTGGCGCGCACGCGGCCCGCATGGTTATGTGCGAGCACGCGCGCGATGCGGTCGCGTGCGGCGACGGGCGTCGACGTGTGGAGACGGAACGCGGGCGACGCGAGGGGCGACGCGGGCGAGACGCGAGGCGCGACGGCGCGAGCGACGATTCGGCGCGCGCGCGACGCCGAAGACGCTGATGGCGTTCGAGTGTCCGTGAATTTCAAATCACTGCGCCCCGGGGGCGACGAGCTTCGGCTTCTTCAAGAATTGTAAGTTGCCCGGAACGAACTCGGCGACTTGGTCCTCCGGGAGCGTCATGAACGGGTCGAACGGGTCGCCGTACGCGTCATCGAACGGCTGCATCGCCCACTCCACCCGCGCCGACTTCATCTTCGGATACAAACGCTCAAAGTTCTCGATCAATACCTCCGCGCGCTGCGCCAGACATATCCGCGCCAGGTCCACGCTCGCGCGCTTATCGCCCGCGTCCGGGACCTGCAGCGTCCCGACTCCGTTCCACACCACGTTCATCGGTCCCACTTTCTTCACCATCAAGTTCACGCTGAACGGATCGCTCCCCTCCACCTTTTCCAGCGCCGGGAACCCTCTCTGATCGTTCTCCGTCATGCCCTTGGACGCGCTCGCGCGCTTCTTCGAGCTCTGTGTTGGTTTTTCATCCTCGGGCCCAAACTCCTTCAAGAATGCGCCGCCCTTCTTCGCCCGCGCGGCGACGCGCGCGCGCGCCGGAGCGCCCGCGCGCGGGACGACTCGCACCGCGGTCGCCATCGCCGTCGACGCGGGCGCGACGCGACGCTGGGTCGATCGCGCGCGCGAGGTTTTGTGTCGAGTGACGTCGACACGATGCACTTTATGACGAACGATGCCATCAGATCATGTCGCTCGCGGTGAAAGCGCCGTGTGGTCGCGTCGCGCGCGCGCGCGGACGTCGACACGCGTGTCGAGCGTCCGCGCCCACGCTCTACGGCTCCCCGGGCTCGCGGTCGCCGTTGGTGAATTGGTATTGCCACGAGATTGGCTTGGACGTGCGCGCGCGCGCGCCGAACGACCCGAGCAATCCGCACCCGTTCGGCCAGGTCCCCGCGCTCGAGGACGATGGATTAACGGTATTCGAATCCGGAGCGATCCTCATGTACCTCGCGGACGCGTACGGCGGGATGGACGACGCTAAGAAGCGAGCCGAGGCCGCCGCGTGGGTCGTCTGGGCGAACGCGACGCTCGACGGCGTCCTCTTCATCGAGAACGAACGCGGCGGCGTCGTGGACACCGGCGCCAAGAACCCGAACCAAAAGCGTTTACGACGCTTAGACGACATCCTGCGCGAGCGGGAGTTCTTGGTCGGCGACGCGTGGGGCGTCGCCGACTGCGCCGTCGCGGCGTACCTCCTCTACGTCCCGCAGTTTTTCCCACGCGTCTCCTGGGCGCCGTATCCGAACATCGCCCGCTACATGGGTCGCAACTGCGCCCGCGACGCCTACGCCCGCGCGTTCGGCGCGGACGTGCGCGCGGGCATCGTCGACAAGCTCGAGCGCGACCTCGCGTCCCGGTGACCCCGCGTGGGCAGCACGATCCCATACTGTACCTCCACAGACCCCATATCGTGGACACACCCCGGCCACCTAAACCCTACACCCGACACTTCACGGCACTTTTGTGTCGACCGTCCCGACGCTCTCGACGCGTCGTTTCTCGGCGCGCGCGCGCCCGGGCGCGATTCTCCACCCGCGATCGATCGCGCTCGCTCCCGCGCGCTCGCTCGCGCGCCCGGCGCGGGCGACGCGCGCGCGAGCGAACGCGCGAACGCCGTCGCGGGCGGTGAATCGCGACCGACCCATGGACGTGCGAGGATCCTCGGAGAGCGACGACGTCGACGACGAGACGCACGTCGCGGCGCATCACGCGGAGGCGTCGTACGCGTCGTTTTGTAACGCGGCGATCCTGAACGCGGCGCGTCGAGCGGAACTGTGGACGGATTCGAAGAGTTTCGTGGACACGCGGGCGCGGAGTCCGCCGGCGACGCTCATTCGGGCGCTCGCGGGGTCGAGGGCGGCGACGTGCGCGAAAGCGGCGAGGGCGTTCTTGAATGAACACTTTGAGAGTGGACCGAGAGATCGGACGCGGACGCCGGAGTTGAGCGATTGGCGGGAAGATGTGGGAATGACGAGGGAAGCCGCGTGCGCGGAGAGCCGGGCGTTCGCGACGCACGTTCACGGGTTGTGGAGGGTGCTGGCGAGGTTAGACGCGGATGATGAGGAGGAGGCGGAGACGGAGACGCCGATCGCGATCGTGAGCGGTGATGGGTTGAGTTCTCCGGAGAAGGCGGAGGCGGCGAGAGCGGACGAGACGGTGAAGCGGACGACGAGTTCGAGAATCCGTTTGCCGTTTCCCGCCGTCGTGCCGGGCGAGCGGTTTCGGGAGACGTACTACTGGGACACGTACTGGATCGTCTTGGGATTGCTCGCGAGCGAGATGCACGCCACTGCGAAAGGTGTGACAAATAATTTGTTGCACATGGTGAACACGTACGGGTTCGTCCCGAACGGCGCTCGCGTGTACTACTTGAACCGCTCTCAACCGCCATTGCTGACGTCGTGCGTGGCCGTCGTGTACGACGCGACGAAAGATCTCGCGTGGTTGCGACAATCGCTTCCGATGCTCGTGCAAGAGTACGCGTATCTCACTCGACCGGAGAGAATCATTAACGTTCGTGATCCGGAGACCGGGGAGATTCACGCGCTCGCGCGGTACTTCGCGAACACCACGCGTCCGAGGCCCGAGAGTTACAGAGAAGACGTCGAGCTGGCGCGACGCGCGACGAAGAACATCCGAGATGGCGTCGAAAAGCTCGAGGCGAAGCGAACGATTTATCGTCACCTCGCGAGCGCGGCGGAGAGCGGGTACGATTTCAGCTCGAGATGGTTCCTCGACGGCGACACTCTGGAGACGATTCGCACGTGCGACATTATTCCCGCCGACTTGAACGGTTTCATGCTTCGTGTTGAGTCAGAAATTGTCTATCTCGCGCGCGAAATCCTGGTCACGATCAAACCCGAGGATGAGCTCTACGCCGAGCGACTGTACTTGACGCAGGTTCTCGAAAAGTTTTCGCACGCGGCTGACGCGCGCCGAAGAGCCATCAACGCAGTTCTCTGGGATGACGACGTCAAGCGTTGGCGAGACATGGCGTTCAAGCCGCGCCAGGCTGAGGACGCGCGAGCGATTTATCGCGATGTGTGCGATCTCAAACCGGCTTCTCAGAGCCCTTTCACGAGCGATTTCACCCCGCTCTGGTGCGGCGCTGCGGACAGAGACAGCGAACGCGCGTACGAAGTCGTCCGAGCACTCAAGGAATCCAAGCTCGTCACGGAGAACGGTATCGCGACTTCACGTATCGAGAGCGGACAGCAGTGGGATTGGCCCAATGCCTGGGCACCGACGACGCACATGATCGTCGAGGCTATCCAGATATTTGCTCCTAAGGAGGAGGCGTACGCCAAGACTCTCGCGCACGCGTGGATTCGCACCGCGCACGCGGCTTGGAAAGAGACCGGATACATGCACGAGAAATACGACGTCCGCGCCGACGTCCATGGTGTCGGCGGAGGCGGAGAGTACGTCCCTCAGCGAGGATTCGGGTGGACGAACGGCGTGACGCTCCGTCTGATGTCGCAGTACGGCTTCCCATGCGGCGACGAGCGATGACCGACGACGACGAGTCATACGCAGTACAATAATGAACGATATAAAACGGCCACGAAGACGCGCCTTCGGCGCGTCGATGTATTCTTTTGAAGATTTTTTTGAAAGACATATATTTTTGAGGGCGCGCGGCATTCACCCGTCGCGCCGTTGTATTAACCACGAAACGATTCATCCAACAACCTCACCGTCGCGCCGCGCCTCGCGACGCACTTCGCGACGCGCGGTAACCATCCATGGATCCACCCGGACCGGACGACCCCGCCACCGCGCGCGCGAGCGCCTCGGACGAACTCTTCGTCTTCGACGACACCGCGCAAAGACTCGTCGCCGAGCAAAAACCGTGGACCCGTGACCCGCACTACTTCAAAAAGTACGTCGACGAACGCGTTGATGCGTTGATTTCATTCGCGCGACCTGAATGTGACGCACACGCGTCGTGCGTGGACGAATACGCCGCTGACGTCGCGATGTTCGACGCGCAGGGTAAAGATCTCAGCCTTGGCTCTGATGAAAATGACGCAACACTGCGAACGGGGCGGAGAGATCGAGGTGATGGGGACGCTGCTCGGGCAGACGCGCGGCGACGCGTTCGTGGTGACGGATGCGTTTGAGCTCCCGGTCGAGGGCACGGAAACCAGGGTGAACGCGCAAGCAGAGGCGTATGAGTACATGGTGGAACACGTCGGAGCTATGAAGCGGACGGGGAGGGGAGAGAACGTCGTTGGATGGTATCACTCGCACCCCGGGTACGGGTGCTGGTTGTCGGGCATCGACGTGAACACACAAATGTTAAATCAGAGGTACAACGAACCGTTCATGGCGATTGTGATCGATCCCACGAGAACGTGCGCGCAGGGTAAGGTTGAGATCGGGGCGTTTCGAACGTTTCCGGACGGGTACGCGCCGCCAGACGAGGCGTCGACGTCGAAACAACAGACCATTCCGCTGAGTAAGGTTGAGGACTTCGGCGTGCACGCGAACAAGTACTACTCCTTAGACGTGAGTTTTTTCAAGAGCTCTCTCGACGCTCGGAGTTTGAATCCACTCAAGGAGCAGTACTGGGTGAACCCTCTGAGCTCAGCGCCGTTCTTGAATAATCGCAGGCTCGTCGCCGGACAAGTTTGGGATATCCAGAGTAAAATCGCGAGCGCTGAGCAGGCGCTCAAGCGTGGCGGCCCGACCGGCGCGATGCCGAGAGCGGCCGCGGACGCGCCGGAATCCCCGATCGCCGCTGCGACGCGCGACGCCGTGGCGCTCGCGGTCGAACAATCAAAAGGTTTCACCGCGCACGCGGTGAAGAGTGCGCTCTTCGACGCCGCGCGCGCCGTCGACGCCATAAAATCCCTCGACCAGATGCAAATAGACTGATCGAATCGAGCGCTGCGATTTGACGCATCGATGCTTGTAATTCTACGCCGCTAATCATTCTTTTATTACACATCTTTCCGCTCTGCTACGAAGCCGCCGACCCGCTCTCCGCCTTCTCCCGCTCCGCCATCTTCTCCTCCAACGCCGACGCCAACGTCCGTAAATCGTGCTCCATCGCCCGCACCCAATTTTCAAAGTCCCCGATCGCCCTCAATTCCTTATCGAACGCCTCCATCGACTTTGCCCACGATTCCGCGCGCGCTCTCAACGCCGCCGAGGTCTCGCTCAACCGCCGCGCGCTCTGCTCCACTCTCTTTTGATTTTCAAACGCCGCCTGCGCTCCGGCGTGCACGGGTTCGGTGAGCTCTTCCGTGAGCGCGTTCACGGACGCCAAAGCCTCTCGTCGGAGCGTCTCTGTGAGCGAGACGAGCAACGTTAGTCTTTGATTTCACGATGGTGTTGATGCGCTCTTCGTGTAGTATTCGCGCGCGAAGACGACGCACGAAGACGACGCACGCACCGACATCGCGCTTGACACGGTTTTGACTCGAGCGATGGTCTTCGTAGAGTTTCTTGAGCGACATTATCGTCGAGAGGCGCGGTGTGAAGTGCGAGACGAAGCGGCGACGCGGGTGTTCGACAAAGATTGTTGACTCACAAAATGTGTCACTTTGAGCTAGACCGGCGACGATGTGGCGCCGAGATGGGCGACGATTGTCGTCGCGCACACGTTGTCTTGCTCGTACCGCGCGAAAAATGGATCGCACGTGTCCTGAACGTTTGGACGTCGTCACGGATTTTGTGCCACGAGCGCTCTGAGCTGCAACAGGTGCACGACCAAAATCATGACGTGCCAATTCTCGTGCGGTCCCCACACCCCTGGAATAGCCAGGAAAGGCTTGTGATTCGCATCAAATCTCGCGCACATCACAAAGTACAGAGGCGACACGATCTTGGAGAGCACCTGTATCAAGAGCATCGTCTTGAAGTCTTGAATCGCTCGCCACTCGACGACGCCTAAGAATACAATGTTTAACAAAATAAGCGTCATTCGTCGCCGACGCATGAACATCAAAACCCGCTTACTCTTCTGCGTGAACGCCGCCACTTGCATCGCCACCATCAACCCGAACGTGATCACGGCCCCCCACTGCGAGAAACTATGAATGCCTTTGGTCCACAAAATCGTGTGCGACGTGAACCCCCACGATATCCCAATAAAATCCAGCGCCAGCGCCACGTCGTACCCCAACCGCGTCTTCCACGGCACCATGTGCAGACACACCGACAGCGCGTACGTCAACAGCGTGCACTGAATGAACAAAACCGCCTCCTCCGGTACGCGCGCGTGATATCCCAGAACCCGTCCGGTCAGCGCCGACACCAGACACGCGAAGTGCACCCACCCCCGCATGAGCGGCCGTCCCTGCTCCCCGCCCGCGTACGCGTCGTGTCGTCCAAAGTGCGTCGCGTAGTGCGACGCGGTGTCCAGGAGCTCTTTAAAATCCACGCTCGAGCTCCGTCGCGCGTGCGTCGCCCCATCGCGTTCGAGCCCCATCGATGCCGTCGCCTCCGTCGCCGTCGCCGACGCGGGCGCCCGCGCGCGCGGTCGCGGCGGACGACGCGCGCGCGGCGTCGCCATCGTCGCCCCGCGCGCGCGCGAGCGCCCGAACGCGCGCGCGCCCGAGTCCCGGTCCTCGCGCGCGCGCGCCGTGGTCACCCCTCGAAAGGCGTCGACCGGTGGATCGATCGCGTCGAAAGGTGGACGTCCCTTTCGACGCGCACGGTGGTCACCTTTCACGGGATCGATGGCGTCGACGCGCGCGCGCGAGTGCGTCGCGCGGCGTCGCGGCGCGTCGCGGCGACGCCGAGGCGGGCGATGCCGCGCGCGTCGCTCGGACGGTGTTACGTCGCGCTGGAGACGACGGCGGCGGCGGCGAGGGAGGTGCGACGGGGCGATCTCTTGCGCATTCGGGCGAGCGATGGGCGAACGCTTCGAATCTCTCGGGCGACGACGGAGGCGGACGGCGAGCGCGATGATGCGGCGGCGAACGGGACGTTCGAGGCGACGTGCGCGGGTGGATCGGCGTTCGCGCGCGCGTTCGTGGAGTTGGGCGCGCGCGGGACGGCGACGGCGGTCGGGACGCGCGGCGGCGGCGGCGGCGACGGCGACGGCGACGCGAACGGCGCGATGCGGGCGCGCGGGGGAGGGGGTACCGTGGTTTTGATCGTTCGGTGTGAGGTGTCGGTGGTCGGGACGGCGATTGGGGGGTGGGGGCGATGCGGGCGCCACGCGCGAATCGTCGCGGCGACGCACATGACGAGCGCGCGGGAGAAGACGTCGGAGGAATACGACGATGAGGCGCTTGATCCGACGCTCGAGAGTGGTTTTTGCGGTGTTTTGGGATGTTGTGCGCACGCGGGTGATCGTAGGGCGACGATGAGCGCGACTTTGGAGGAGTTGCGACCGGAGATGAAACGGGAACACGAACCGGTGCGACGGGCTGTCGATGGCTATCTGTGCGCCGGGGACTTGCCGGAGGATGTTTTGAGTCGTATTTTAGGTTTTTTGGACGTCAGGTGCGCGGGCACTTTGGCGGCGACGTGTCGAGGGTTTCGCTCGCGCGTCGAGGAGACGTCTCCGGGAATGGCGCTCACGCTGCATCCGCACCAACGCGCGGCGCTCGGATGGATGCGACGACGCGAGCGCGCGCGATTGCCTCGCGTTCAAGATCCTCTGTGGAAGCGTTTTGAATGCGATGACGGACGTGTGTTGTGGTTAAACACGATAAAGGGCGATTTGAGCGACCAGCATCCTGAGGTACACGAGGATTCGCAGGGTGGTATGTTGTGCGACGAGCCCGGCTTAGGAAAGACCGTCACCGCTCTCGCGCTCGTGTTGGCTCGGCGTGGTTGGCGTCCGTCTCCACCGCCAGGTTGCACCGCGCGAAAGATTGGAGAGAGGTGGTACTACGATGAGACGAGCTCGGCCTTCGGATCGCTCGGTCCGACCGTGATGGATGGCTCTAGTGCGTCGACGTCGTACGCCGAGACACCGCCGGCAAAGTCAACGATGAGTCGGAACTCGTCTCGCGGTGATTCTTCCGGTCTTCGACGAAGCAGACGCTCGAACGGGGGCACGCCCGTTGGATACTTCGCCGCTGTTGCGAAAAATGGTCTGGACGGAACGGTGAACGGGCGCGGTGCGAAACGGTCAGAAAGGGAGGAAAAGCGCGCGCACGAGGAGTTGGCAGCGGCGACGGTTGAGAATCCGGATTGGCGGGCACGCCTGGAGTGCTCGTCGCACGCTGCACCGATCGGATTCATCGCTCGCGAGGGGATGAAGGAAGATTCGGCGCGTCTGGCTAGAAATACGACGCACTTCGAGGGCGTACTGCGCAATTGTTTCATGTACATCGGTCGCGAGGCGACGTGCGATGTCGTGGACTACATTTTAGAAAACACAACAGAGGTTTCTCACGCGATGCCGCTGTCGATACCGCTGTTTCGTAGGAGCTCGGACCATCCACCGCTATTTCACGCGCTCGGTTTGGTCAAGTACGACGGCATCGGCAAGTTGGAAAACGCCTTTCCGTTCGCCCCACCCGGACCGTGTGAGGACGATCTCATTTTAGACAAACAAGCGCTTCACGACGCTGTGTGCGCCGTAGATAACAGGCGAAGAGGCGGGGAGACCACACGCGTGTGGTTATCCAGAGCGACGTTCATCATCATTCCGAGCGTTCTCATCGAGCACTGGCTCACGCAAATACGCATTTGCACCGGCGGTGATGCCGCTCGATGGATCCCGCGCGTTGCAGTTTTGGATAAGTCTCCAAAGAACGACAAAAAGGAGGGCGAGGTAAAGAGCGAAGGCGCGTGGGAGCCTACGTATATGTTCGACTTCTCGGATATGGATGCGAGCGATTTGGCGAGCGATTTTGATATTGTCATCATGCCCATCAATCGGCTGTCGACTGAATTTTCAAAGGTGGATTCACCGCTGTTGCGCATCATGTGGCAGCGAGTCATCATGGATGAGGGTCACCAGCTCGGCGCGACTCTAGCGATTACGGCCAAGCTTTCGGTGGCTTGCGCGCTCAAAGCCCACGCTCGGTGGCTGATGACAGGCACGCCCACACCGAGCACGCTCAAGGGAGACGGCACGGCGCATCTGCAGCCTCTTCTGGGATTCCTTCGCCAGCCACCTTATGGGAACAGCACTGCGCTCTGGTCGAACGCGGTGCAGCGACCGTTGGAGGGTACGGATCGATTAACACAGGTCGACGCCGTTCTTCGTCTTGGGGACATTTTACGTCGGTGCATGGTTCGCACGTGCAAGTCGCACATTTTGTTGCCGCCCATGAAACGCACGACGACCATGTTGAAGTTTAGCGACGTACACGCCGAGTCTTACAACGATCTCGTCGCGCACGTCAAACGATCGTTGCTCTTGGCTGATTGGGGGGATCCGTGTCACGAAGAGTCTCTACTCAATCCCAAGAATGTGCTATCAGCGTCGGCCGCGGTGACTAACCTACGAGAAGCCGCGTGCGTGGTTGGCAAGATGCCAACGACGTTTGATCCCGATGAATTTGATGAAACGATTCGTGATTTGCATCATTATCTTAAAAAGCGGGGCTTTGGTGAAGAGGAACGCAAGGCGCGTTGTAGGCGCGTGTCGCCCATGTTGATGCAGTGCAAAGGAACGTGCGACTTGTGTGCGCACGAGGTGATCATGCCACTCGTCACACCGTGTGCGCATATTTTGTGCTGCGGCTGTGTCATGCACGGTCCGCCCAAGGGAAAGACGCTGAACGGGGTCGAGAACGCGGTCGATGAACCGGATCTCCCGCCTGGGATAGTCCGTGCTCCTCGTGGGTGTCCGGTGTGCGGTTCTGCCTATGTCATGCAGCGAGAGAACCCGTACAACTCCAACCCAGCACAAGCCGTGCCCGAGGATCTCATCGAACTTCAACCGTCGTACATTCAGCACCCGTGGAAAGTAGACGAGAGTCGAGCCGATGGCGTGTACGCACAGGGTGAGAGCTCCAAAGTGGACCATTTGCTTGCGCGTCTTCGAAAGATTGGTGCCGCTGTGGACGAGGAAACGTTGAGGCAGCAAGACGAACGAGACGCCTTCTTCGCACGCGAGGCGAACGGGCTCGCCGAGGACACGCCGGGATGGAACGGGTCGATCAATCCAAACGCGCGGCCACAGACCAATCGACGAAAACGTCGACGCCTAGATGTCGCCTTGCCGCTCAAGGTGAGAGATTTCAAACCTTCCATGCCGCCGCCCAAGAAGTGCATCGTGTACAGTAGTTTCCGTCCGCATTTGGACTCCATTGACTTGGCGCTTTACGGCGCACGTGTTCCGCACGAGAGCATAACGCGCATTGGACAAACTCGGTTTGAGCGCGAGGAGGCATTGAAAACGTTCAAGAACGACCCGGACGTCGCCGTTTTGCTTTTGAATCGCGCGGCCGCGGAGGGATTGGATTTATCCTTTGTTTCGTATGTTTTCCTCATGGAGCCTCTGTCGAACATGTCACTGGAAGAGCAAGTCGTCTCTCGCGCGCACCGCATGGGTCAGATGGACACCGTCCACGTCGAGGTGCTCGCGATGGAGAACACCGCGGAGGAGACCATGCTCGACGTGCAGGCAGAATTGTTGCGCAAACCGATGACGAAGAAAGAGCTAGAATTGGCGGGTGAAACAATCAACGAAGCTGACGCCGAGGAGAACGACAAAGAAGACGAAGCTGACGTGGCTCCGACACTCGTCGTCGAATCGCTCTCGCGCAGAAGAGTTTTGGAGCGTCTCGCGCTCGTTCCTTCGAAAGCATCGGACGAAGCTGCGGCTAAAAGAGCCAAAGCGGTGCAAGATCACTTCGCTCGGCTCGGAGGCGACGGCGGAAGCGGTCGCATGCTCGGCACTGGCAGAACAATCGGCGAAGTAGAAGAGGAGTACTCGACTCGCAAGGCGCTCGAAGAGAGCGCGGCCGAGTTGGCCGCTAGGGGAGGCAAGGCGCCGGACATTGGAAGCCCGATCAAGATGAACGGTCGCGCGACTAACGCTGAAGACGCATCGTCGTTGGCTACTTGGATGATGCGCGTGCGCGACCCCACGGATGGTGGTTCAGTGAAGGAGTTCACGTTACCCAACGGCGCGAAGACGACGGTGTCGGCCATGCGAGCGCGCGTATCCACGAGACTCGGGGTCGGTTTGGAAGATTTTACCATCTTTTGTGGATTTCCACCGAGAGCGCTCACGGAGAAGGACTTGTCTACGCCGATTTCTCTGCTCGGCATTCGTCAGAACGATTTGATCAGTCTACGTCGCGCAAGCGCGACGGAGGAAGTGGCGCCAGACGTCCCAGTAACGACCGTCGTTACCAGTACGAAACGTAAAGAAGCACCGCGGGAAGCAGTGAAGAAATTCGTAGACACGGCTGTTTTGGACTCCCGCGTGCAGCGACGACTGGCGAGCGCGCTGAAGGCTTCGGAGACGAGCACGGAGATGATGCTGCAAGATCCCGACCTCATCGACGACAGCGGCGGCCGTGGTACCGCGGCGACGATGTCGCTCGATCTCCTTCGAGCGGCGGAGTCCGGATCGAAATCCGCGGCGAACGACCCTGTCGTACGTTCGCTCCAAGACGCGTTCAGGTCCATAATCGACGAGCGCCGCCGAGAAACCGAGGGCAACGCCAAGTGCGCCGCCGTGTGCGCGGGAAACGTCGCCTTCTCCTCACTCCCCGACGGTCGTCTCGTGGTAAAATACCGTTCCGACGTCGGGCAGGGAAAAGCATCGATGACGGAGCGCTCGGACTGCGTGCAGGATCTCCCGGCGGCGATTTTACCGTTCGTCCTCGCCGTCGTCGCCTCGGACGCGAAAACCGCTCGCGAAAACCTCGCACCGGCAGCGATGGCCGTCGCGAGCCCACGCGTGTTCTGGGCCGTCGTTCGTCACGGCAACGTCGGTCCGAGCGGTCGTACGTTCACGGAGGCCCTGCGATCCCTCGCCCCGGGCGTCGCCGACTGGGACGCCTTGACCGCGCGCGCGCGCGCGTCCAACCCTCGCTACGCCGAGTACGACACCTCCGGTTAATCACACCCGTCCCTGTGGGCCGCGTGACCGACGCCATGAATCGATAGATCGATCGTTCGTCCACGTCTCGCCCGCGCGCGCGACGCGGCGCCGCACAATTCACCCCTCGACCCGCCGTCGCGCACCGCCGCGCGCGCCGCGTTCGATGACGCCCGCGTCGAGCGAGCGACGACCGACGGACCCATCGAGCGCGGCGCTCGCGCTCGAACGCGCGCGCGCGAACCACTTGGAGGAGGAATTACGTAAAGTTCGCGCGAGCGCGGAGAAGCTCGCGCAAACGGTGGAGGCCGAGGAGGAGTTCTTAGTCCAAGCGCTCAATCGTAAGCTCGAGGCGGCGAACCAGGAGCGAGAGATCTTAGCGCGCGACGCGCAGAAGCGAGAGGGGGAGCTGGTGGAACACCTCGAACGACGGTTGCGGCGGTTGCAGGATGAGAAGTGCGCGCTGGAAAACGCGCTGGAGCGAGAGCAGGAACGGATGATGCATCGACTCACGACGGCGATCGAGGAGCTCGGGAGGGAGAAAACGCAGGTGGCGAAGGAGCGCGATCGGTTGTCGAAGGATTTAGAGCAGAAATCGAGCGAGACGATGCGGTTGAAGGAGGAGAAGGTGCGGTTGGAGAATACGTTGGAGAGCGAAGAGGAACACATCGTGAACCTGATGCAGTCGCAGATCTTGGCGTTGTTGAAACGGAATCGATCGTTGGAGCGGCAGGGGAAGGGGCTCGGTGGAGCGGTGAGCGATAGCGAGTACGTGAGCGACGATCAGTTGGGCTCGCCGAGGAGGGGGTCGTTCGGGAGAGACGGGTTCAGAAGAGACCCGTTCGCGAGACAACCGGGTTCGTCCATGACGTCGCCGTTTGCGAGCGACAGGGAATCGCTGAGTCCAGGGCGGCGTCAGATGCAGCAAAGCGCGTCGCACGCCGGAAGCTCCGCGCCTCCGAGCGCGAGATCTACCAGCTCGGAACCGCGCTCGCCCAGAACGAGCTGAGTCGCGCTCGCGTGAATACTTTTTGTCGTTTCAGAGCACGTTTTGTAAATTTTATACAGTACGGGTACACTATCTCTTTTTGCTCACCCCCGCGAGCGCGGCGAACGGGTTCCCGCTCGCGTACCGCGGCGTCGATGAAATCGTCTCGCGCGCCGCGCTCTTTTGCGTCGCGCGTCTCGGCGCGCCGCTCGCCGCCCCATCCCCCACTATCGACGACACCGACACGGTATACGACGCCAATTTCTTCTTCTTCCCCTTTTTCTTCGCCTTTTCCGTCTTGAGCGCGCGCGTCACCGCCTTGGTTCCTTCGTCCCTCGCTCGGCGCGCCGCGTCCCGCGTCGCCGCCGCGT